AAGCAGCACCATTCATTATAGCCAAAATAGGAGAAATAACTCAAATACTCACTGACTGAAACAGAATATGGTATATCCATATGTTGTTGTTGTTGTTTTTAGATGCTTTTGAGCAAGCCTATGAACAAAGGATCTGTACCCTGTTCTATCCTGCATCATTCTCATACTTCCTGACACACAAGAGCCCACTGTGGCAGCCATTGTGTCAATTCACCTGGCCGAGTAGTTTCCTCTCCTTTGCCAACCCTCCACCTTTCCCAGCATCATGTCCCTCTCCAAGGATTAGCCCCTCCTAGCAACATTCAAAAAGTATGTGAGGCATCAATCTCCTCGATCTTGCCTCCAAAGAGCACTCCAGCTGCACCTTCTTCAAGATATATCAGTTTGTTCTCTTGGCCGTACAAGGGATTTTCAGTGCTCTTCTCCAACACCACAGCTCAAAGACATCAATTCTTTTCCTGTCATCCTTATTCATTGTCAAGATCTCAGATGCATAGCTAGTAATCGGAAAGACTACGAGTGAATGTTATTTAGCCATGAAAACCAATAAAGTATCACTGCATGCTACAACATGGAAGAACTTTGAAAATGTTGTTGTTGTTAAGTGCCGTCGAGTTGCAGCCAACCCATAGCGACCCTATGAACAAAAGTCCTGGACATCTACTGTATAACTTTTGTCCTCTCTCCAGGTTCATAGGGTTTCCAGAGGCAAGCAAGCTACTGTGGAAGTGGATGCCACTCCTGCTTATGCTTGGTAAAAGAAGCCAGACACAAAAAGACACCTAGTACAAAATTCCATTTATAGAAAATGAAGAAAAAAAAAAAAAAAGCAACTTCAGAGGAAAAGAAACATATCGGGGACTTCCAGGAGCTGAGAATGGAGACAAGTGAAACATACCTGCAAAATGGGTACCAGGTTCCCTCTGAGGTGATGAACATGTCTGGGGTTAGACAGTGGTGATGGCTACACAACAGTATGACAGTAGTCATACTTTTAAAATGGCAAAATTTTATCACAATAAAACCAAACAAAACCCACTGACTGGCTCTAAAAGACTGGTGATAAAAGGAAGTGACAGAGTTGATTTCCAGCATGCCCTGGGGAGACCCACCCAAGGACTGGGGAGAGGTGGACTGAGCGACGCATCTACCAGGTTATCCTGGCTGAAAAGCATCTCTTCCCAACATGCTTGATTTTATATGTAAATTCCAAGAATTCGCAGAGCCAAGGAGACACATGCTCAGATTAAAGTATACATCTGAATACAATATTCTAATTACTTGATATTTTAGACCATCCAAATTGTGGCGGTGGTTCATTAACGAGGACATTTGAGTTGACTGCATTCAGTAAATGAAGTTCAAACAACAGACAAAACCAATTATGAGAAATTTCTTCCCATTATTTCTAAGGACAAAGCTTATGAGATCATAGAGTACTTGGGGCCTAATTTAATCTGCACAATCGAACCAACGACTATGTTCTTCCAGTTACCTTTATAATTAAGCACTTGCTCATTAGAATGGAGCAGATTTCACATTTCCTGCCTTTCTTTGTTGCCTTGCCCTGGGCCCTCGGAGGACAAGAGTGTGTGCAGGCCCTGTAATCTGACCTCAGTCCCACAGCTGGGCTGATCCTCCTATCATTCAAGTTCAAATCCCTGGAAGGTAGGAGTTGTTTATGTTTTACTCATGACTGTTAACCAGCAGATCAAGCCCAGTACCTTGAACAGAGAGCAAGTAGCAAAACATTTGCTCGAGAAATGAAGGAAGCATTATAACATCAGACAGCAAAATAAACAAGTCAACAGAAGAGGCACGGATCTCAGCAAAATACACCAAGTGAGTTCTTTGTGCAGTTTCCATGGGTGACTGAACATTTGGGAAAAATCAACTGGAAATGACTCTTGTCTGAAATATTCAGTGGCCAGACAGAAAAAGCTCTTGTCACACATAAAAATATCACAATTCAGGATATTTAGCCTGGGAGTATTATGTGAATGACTATGGGAAAGCTTTATTCTCATTTGACTTCATTTCTCACTTCCATTCTCAACCTCATTCAATGTACAGCTGTTCTGATGTGTTTAATATGCTCATTTTGTTTATACAAGTTCTTGTAAGCTTCTTATTATTTGGCAAGAATGGGTTTTTGATTGATGGCAGATTACAAATGCTGGTTGTGGAATGTTTCTAGAATGTTTCTCAGAAGCCAAGATGGTAAGGTTTTCAATTTGCTTCATATCGACATGTCATCAGGGATGACCAATTACTGGGAAGGACATCACGGTTGGTAAGACAGAAAAGCAGCAAAACAAGGGTAGCTCTCAATGACAAGGAACAACACAGTAATCACATTAGTGGACTTAGAATACCAGAAATCATGAAGATGGCATCAGGTCAGGCAATGCTTCCTTTTGCTTTATATGTTGTTGTTGTTAGGTGCTGTCGAGCTGAGCATATGACTCACAGCGACCCAGTGAACAACAGACCTGAGCCCTGTTCTATCCTGTGCCATCCTCACCCTCTCAGGTACAAGGGAGCCCACTGCTGCAATCCCTGTGTCAATCCATCTCACCGAGGGTCTTCCTCTCTTTCTCTGATCCTCCACCCTTCCATGAACTAGAGCCCACTTGATGGCAACTACCAAAAACAACATCATCATGTTATTTCTTAGTTTGTGTAAAGAACTTATATGGAACAGTTATAAGGCCTTGACAGGAAACATACAGCACTGATGAAAAGTAGGAGGGCCTTATTTGAAATCTTTGGAGAAAGGAAATGGGGTATGAAGACCAAGCTAGTAGATAAATTCAATATTAATGTAACAGAAAGGAAAACCAGTAAATGAGACTATATAATTCTATCTTATTATATGTGTACTTTCCATATTGTTGTTGTTGTTGTTATGTGCCATCGAGTCGTTTGCGACTCACAGCGACCCTATGTACAACAGCCCTAAACCCTGCTCTATCTTGTGCCAATCTCACTGCCTCCGACACACCCATCCTGATTACCCCAGTCACTAAATCAATCCACCTCATAGAGGGTCTTCCCCTTCTGCGCTGTCCCTCCACTCTGCCCAGCATGATGTCCCCCTCCAAAGACCTGTCTCTCCTTACAACATGTCCAAAGTATGTCAGGCGAAGCCCCAGAATCCTTGCCTCCAAGGAGCAGCCTGATTTAACCCTCTCTAGGATGAATCTATTTGTTTTCTTGGCAGTCCATGGTACATTCAATACTCTTCTCCAGCACCACAGCTCAAAGGCGTCAATTCTCCTTCTATCCTCCCTAGTCATTGTCCAACTCTCTGATGGATAACAAGTGATTGCAAAAACCATGGCCTGTATCAGGCGCACCTTAGTCCCCAGAGAGACACTGCTGCTCTTGAGTACTTTAGAGAGAGGTCCCTAACTGCAGACTTTCCCATCGCAATACATTTTTTGATTTCCTGGCTACTGGTGCCAAGAGTGTTGACTGTGGAGCCGAGCAAACTGAAGCTGTGAACAATCTCAATCTCTTCACCATCCATCCTGATGCTACCGATTGGTCAAGTGGTGAGAATTTTTGTCTTCTGGACATTGAGCCTCAGTCCATATTGAAGGCTGCAGTCCTTGAGCCTCTGCAGTAAGTGCATGAGGTCCTCCTCAGTTTCAGTGAGCAGGGTTGCATCATCTGCATAACGCAGATTAGTATTATTCCATATTATTATCTTATATCATTATCTTATATTATTATTATTATACCATATTATTGTCTTATAAAAAAATAAAGTTTGGTTAGAAGTCATTACTGATCTCAACTTCTGACCAAGAATATATGTACTTCTATCAGTTTCTTAAAGACTTTTATAGGCTGAGTTAATAATTTAATTTCTTAGATGAAAGGAATAAAATTATTATGTAAAATACTGAGTTAAAAAGATGGCAAGATTTATAAGCTACAACAATATTTAGATATCTCTTAAATTAGAGAATAAATCATGTTTTATTTGTTGTTATATTTGGTGGGTATAGAATGTACCTTAGTAATTAGGTATGCTACAGTCAATTAGTTGGGAATATAGCCTTCTGTGAATTTTTGGGGTTTAAGACACGTGGTTAGGAACAAAAAAGAAATGGAAAAAAAAGATGTGGTTTGTTGAAGAGACTTAAAAAAAAACCCAACAAAAAACCAACTGAAACAAGCTGTTTGGCTTCTGAGGCAGAGTAAAATTGGTGCCCGTCAGGGCTCACTTTTAAGAGTTGAGGCTGGAGTATGCTCACTCATAGCGATCGCCTGGATCCACAGGAGTGGAAGTGAGAGAAATACAACAATGGAGAACAGGTTGAGCCTGGACATGTTCCTTCAAGGCTGCCCACCCAGCATGCACTGATGTGTGGGTGGGCAGGGAAGGCTTGTCGGCTTGAGGAACAGGGTGTTGTGAGTACCACCCTGTTGACTGGGCCCCATATGGGGCTAGGACTGAGTAAGGAGGCCAGCAGGTCTCGAACACAGGGACAAGTGTGGACTCCTGGGGTTGCAGCTGATGCCCATTTGAACCTAGCCACAGATAGCTGACGATGAGTTGACCAGAACCCAACCAGATGAAGAGACAATGTTCTACACTGTGCACTAGGGTCAACTGCTGCAACCTGATGGCTTGCCCTGGATTGGAATTTGCTTGTGGATCTAGATGCTCAAAGTTTCCAAGTTGAACAAAGATTTCTTCAGCAAAAGGCATATGCTGTTTCTCAGAATACTGGTTTGATAGGGACAGGCAAATCAGCAATTAGCTTTCTAAAAGGGGGTTATTTGGGTATGAGGCATGAGGTAGCTGGCTTACACGCTTTCACACATGTAGTTATTAGTAATATGATCATAAGGGGGGAAAACCCACAATATACATGGATCAAAATGTAATGAAAGAGGGCATAAAACACAATGTACATGCTTGAAACACATTATATATAAATAATATTTTTTTTAAAAGACATGTGGCCTTCAGGTCCTTAACTTACTTTATCAGGAGGCTCTGGCCATCGATAGAGTCTCCATCCTGTAAGTCATATTTGCTTGCCAAGTAAAGGGAAATCTCAGTCTTGGCGAGTTGACTTAGCAAATTTTCCCTGTTAGGGTCATTTCGGTCAACTGCTCCTTCCCCTGTGAAAAAACCAGGAGTATGATTCTTCTAGTTCACTCACTGCTGGAACGATGTGCTCTGATAGGAAACAAGTCATTATGGTCTTGGCAAAGAAACACATCTCTAAAGTGGCTTTTACATCTTGATTGAAACATCAAAGTAGCATAGGACACAAATATTCAAAATGCTGAATAAATAGGCTTTGTTATTTTAATTATGAAAAGATAGAACTGTAAGTGAAAAGAAATCCTTAGAGAACACAGAATAGAACGCTTCACTTTCTAATAACTTTGACAGTTTAATGAGGTTTTCTTGATGATACAGATTAAAGAGTCCTTTCTGGTTTACCCAGAGTTTACCTTCAAAAGTAGAAAATAGTTTTGTAATTTGAGAATACTATCAATCACAACACTCTTAATTCAGGAAGGGAACACATAGCCAGGGGGGAGTTCTGGCGGCACAGAGGTTAAGTATTCAGTTGCTAACTGAAAGCTCTATGGTTCGAATCCACCTACTGGCTCTATGGGAGAAAGGCCTATTAATAGTCAAGATTATATGCTAGGAAACCCTCTGGGCAGTTCCACTCTGTCTTGTAGGGTTGCTACAAGTTGGAGTCTACTTAGCATCAAACAACAACAGTATGTTGTTGTTGTGATTGGATACCGTTGAGTCAGAAGCAGCCCATAGCTGACGCTTCGGTGGGTTTTCAGAGGCAGTTAATTGCACAGGAGGAGATTACCCATCCTTTTCCTGCAGAGCAGGAACCTCCTCAAAAAGCATGCCTTCAGGATTGCAGCACATTTTCTTGCCTCTAGGCCGCCAGACGGACATGTTCTCCCAGGTTTGCTCTGCCCAGGGCTGCTATGGCCCGGTTGCCAGAGAGAGCATGGTGCTGTTTGGGCCGGTGTTGTGGCAGTTTTCGGATGCGAAGGACTACTCTGCCTCCAGGAGCCAGGCAAGCCAGGCTTGGCTTAGGGTTTAAAGCAGCAGCAGAGGGCTTCAAGCCCAAAAGGGCCCTCGGGCCCTCAGCCCTCAAACCAGTCTTTCATTGTTTTTGTTCAGACATTCCTCTAGGTCGTATAGCCCTGGTGTACAAGTTGCTGTACAGTGGTCACTTGTGGTTACTGTGAGGCTGACCACTGTGGCACGGATGTGTCAAATGCATTAATGGTTGGCTACCCAATGCGGACAGAGAGTGGGGTGGAGCTCCCCGATGAAAACAAGCTTGGAAGGAGGAGTGGCATCTACTTCCATAATAGCTTGCCTCCGGAAATCCTATGAACCTGGAGAGAGGATGAAAGGCACCCAGGCGTCGAGGACTCTCCTTCATAGAGTCACTATGAGTCGCCTGTGATTCGACGGCACTTAGCAACAACAACAACAACAACAACAACAACAACAACAACAACAACAGGCCGCCAGAGCTCCTGCATCGCTATGGTTTTTAAAAATAAACTCAGGCATTAAATTTCAGCTTTTTCTAAAAATCTAAGATAAGGAAATTAAATACTTAAAGGTAAGGAAAAGAAACAAGGTCTTACCAATAAAAGACTCCACATTAGGTACCTCTCCCAGTAACTCCAACAACTCGTTCAGGTAGTCAGTCTTTTCAGGTGCAATTGCTTCCTGATGTTCCAGCAGGAGCTTCACAGAGAAAGCAATACATACACATGAGAGAAAAGCAAGTGCTCAGCTACCACCGTATTTGTATCGTTTCCAGTTTTTTCCTGATCTAATCTTCCTGATAGAGTTTAGATCTGCACTAGAAGCCTGACAATTATTAAAATTAGGGATCACAGAAGAAAGAGTTTTTATTTTGCCTGAAACAAAATTGGCTAGTTTATACTAAGAGACTGACTCTTTCTGAGTTGCATTTGTCAACCCTCTCACAGCAAGATCTTATAAAAAGAAGCCTTTTACCCCTGGTGCTCTGTGCCACATGCATAGACAACATTTATAGGAAAAGTCAAATTGGAGAAAAGAGTAATAAATGAACTGGAAGCACTTCAAGTAATGCTGGCAACAAACCAGAAAAGCATTTCCATATCTCTTCAGAGAAAACATGCAGTAATAAAACAGGGGGCTCTGGTGGTGCAGACTGCAGGGAGTGGTTACACTAATTCAAAGGCTTGGCTTCTCTGATGGTTTAAATCTACCAGCAGTTCTAAAGAAGAACGAGTAATCTCCTTCCATACAATTTATAGCTTCAGAAACCCACTGAAGTGGTGAGTTGGTTCCTAATTGAGAGCAATGAGTAATTAAGTAATAATCACTACAGCTATGAAAATAAAATTACTACCTCTATCTATTTATTTATTTTGTCTGTCTAACACTTCCATGAGTGTGGTGTTAGAACTTTTGAAAAATGACTTTTCAAGCAATTGCCTTAGCCCCCATCTGGGGTTGTGGTCTCTAGCTGCTTCAACTGTGACACATTATTTGCCGTTTGATCAGCATCTTCTACATAATCAACAGTTGCAGGGCCAACTTAAGAGCTGGCCAGACCGTGGAGAGATTGCAGCAAGGTCATAGCATGACAGAGCCCTGGAGATGGAGCCAGAAAAACTGACTTGGGACTACTATGAGACCAGGCTTGTTAGATGACCGAGAAACTAGAGGTTTATTTATATTCCTAGAATGAACTTGGACTTCCACTGTGCGATATCCTTTCCTTCTCCAGCCACCCTCCAACCTGTTTTCTTAACAAACCTCACAACTTTTAAATGGAATATTGAACCTTGTGATTAGTAGAAGTAGGTGCAGCAGTGTGGGTGACTATATCATACCACAGGATCAGTTTTATATACTGGATGTTGTTGATGGAGATGGTTCTCATTTGTGGAGTTGGTGGAAGTCAGACTCAGCCTTCCCCACATTGCATCTGCACTCTTACAATGGGTAGGGATGACACAAGGCCCACATGGTTCCTTAGCCTGTCATCAGGATGTACACCTTTAATGATTTCAGCAAAGACTCAAAGGTGAGGAACACCCACTGGTGGGCCTTGTCAGAGTCACACCACAACTAGCTTGTTTTGTATTTAGAATTAAAGTAGCACTTCCAAAGCATAGGCTTTGAGATTTAATTTTTCAGTTGTTCTGTTTACCATACAAAACTATGAATCACAATGACAAATTTAGTCCATTTTCCTCTTTAATTTTGATAATTTTATTAAGAATTCACATATCAGCATTTCATTCATTTAAAATATAGCATGCAGTGATTTTTTTATATTCACAGAGTGGTGTAACCACCACCACTACCTAATTTCAGAACATTTCCATTAACCACAAAAAGAAGCTCAGTACCTATTAGCAAGCAACTCGACGGCACATAACAACAACAACAACAATGCAAACTAATAGTGTCGACTATCCTTTCATCATATGCTTACTGGTCATTTGTTCATAATGGCTCCTCAGAATTCAAGGAAGCCAAAATTTTGAATAGACCTATTTAATCTTACACAATCCACAATCAGCACTCTAGGTGCCAGTAGTCAGGAGATGTATTGCATTAGCAAAGTCTAGGACCTCTCCAAATTACTGAAGAGCAATGATAACAGGGTTAAGATTAAGGTGCTCTTGATTCAGGCCATGCTCTTTTCAATCACTTGCTACTAACCTGAGAGCTGGACAGTGAGTAGAATGACAGAAGAAGAATCAATGCCTTTGAGCTGCGGTGTTGGAGAAAAGCACTGGACATCCCATGGATGGCCAAGAGAACAAACAGGAATGTCTTGGAGAAAGTTCAGCCTTAGAGGTACGGATGGTGAAGCTTTGTCTCACATATTTTGGGCACGCTGCTAGGAAAGGCTATTCCTTGGAAAGGGACATCACACTTGAAAGGTGTAGGGTTAGTGAAAAAGGGGGAGATGGCCAAAGATATGGATTGACACAGTGACTGCAGCAATGGGTTCAAGTGTATCAGAGATGATGAGAATGGCACAGGATAGGACACGGTTCAGAACTGATGTTCATAGGGCTGTTTGGGGTTGTACTCAACTCAAGGACACTAATAGTAACAATTAGCTCAAATGTATTTGTAATTTCAGTATCAATACTAGCAGTGCTTTCATACTTATTTGCAGATATGTACAGAGGGTCAAACATTTTAGTCCTCGAACCTGTAAGCTCCCCTGGAAGAGTGGTTGAATGAAGGCTATAAATTTTTCCAGGTATCATAGTTTCATGTTGTTTTAGCGGTCACACTGTAAATAAGTGTTCTTTCTGTGGTTTATTTAGTAACACATTTTTGTGCCTTCTGGTGGTAATTTTACTGATTACTTCCAAGAGAAGTACTGAAGTGTTGTCTGGTGTCCTTCATACATGGACTTCATAGAAAGCACATGTGTTAGATGAAGCTTGTTCAGACATAAGCTAAAGGCTATTAGCTGTACATTTAATGTTAATGTGTCAACAATACATATTAAAATGTGCAACTTGGCTTGACTCCAATTTCTACTGAGTCTACAGAACAGAGTCAAAGTACTTGAAAAGGTCTTCTAGCTATAACCTTCATAGGAGTAGCTCACCAGATCTTTTTTCCTGTAGAGCAGATGGTGGGCTTCAGTATTTAATAACTCAACATCCATGAAGACATTATAGAAGATAATTACTACATGCATTATCAATGGCTTCATTTTACTTAGATCCACAATTAACATCCATGGAAGCAGCAAATACCTGAAAGATGTATTGTTATGGGCAAATCTGCTGCCATGGACCTCTTAAAAGTTCTAAAGAGCAAAGATGTTACCTTAAAGACGTAAGTTAACTGACCCAAGTCCTGAGATGTTCGACAGCTACTGAAAGGCTGGATGATGAGTAATTAAGAGTGAACCAGTGATGCTATTAGATTGTGGTTTGGCAAGGAACACTGAACATACCATGACTACTTAAGAAAAAAGCAGTCCAGAGCACTCCTTAGAAGCAGGAAGAATAACTGGGTTATTTATTTTCTCATTTTGAGCTACACAAATTCTTTATATAGTCTGTATTTAGCAGATACACAATTTGTGATTCCCTCCCCCCTTCTCATTCTGTAGATGGTCTTTTGTTTTCTTGATGGCAATGTCTGCAGCACAAACATTTTGAAGAAGTCTAATTTGTCTAAGTTTACTTTCTTGCTTGTGCTTTTGGTGTTGTTATCTCTAAGAAACTACTGCAGAGCCACAAAGATACACTCTTCATTTTCTTCTTTTACAGAGTTTTACAGTTTGTTTTCATTTGTATATTTAAGTCAATAACCTATTTTCAGTTAATTTTTTTACACTGTGCAAAATTTTGCACACTCTATTAGGTGGATATCCCAGTTGTTTTCATATCATCTGTGGAAAAGACTATGGTTTTCCCCACTTAATGGAATAGGCAACCTTTTGAAAATCTCCTGATCATGAGTGTAAACATTAATTTTTGGACTCTTAATTCAGCCTATGGATCTCTATTCTTTTTTCTAATAAATTTTTATTTTATACTGATTTACTTACAAAGTTCATATATATTATTTTTCACCTCTCCACCCATCAAATTGTGTGTGACTATATGACTAACCAACCCCCCATCCCCATCCTCAGCCCTTTGCCCCCCACCCCCAATATCTATTCTTGTGCCAGTAGCACACCAGTTTTACTACTGACTTTTCCATTCTCTTTTAACTTTAGGATTAGTAAAGGAGGGAGGGAGGGAGAGAGAGAGAGAGAGAGAGATCCTATTGAGCTGTTTTTGTGATTTAGCAAATGAAGAGTAGGCAGGCAGAGGACAGCCACAAGGAAGTGACTATCCCCAACTACTCTAATTTCATTGGATTTACTCACTTTTAAGGTTTCTGTTTATGACAACCTCGGCTAGTTTTCATTTTCTGGTTTTAGTACTTAAAGAATTTGAGGATCATCAGAGGTTTGAGACTGGCTGCTAACATAAAGGCTAATGGTTTCACTACACCTATTATTGCCTCCGCCTATGCTAATGGTTCAGCTCCACCCATCAGCTCTGAAGAGGCAAGGCCTGGCAAATTGCTTCCATCAAGATCACAGCCCATGAAAACCGCCTGGAGCAGTTCTACCCTGTAGTACAGGGAAGCATGACGAGCAGACACCAACTTGACAGCAATGGGTTTGTTCTCTGGTTTACTGAGATTTAGTTTTAAAGCAAAGAAATGCAAAGTTGTTATTGTTAATGTGTGGTCGTCACCTGTGACCCTATGTACAACAGCTCTAAAGACTGCCCTGTCCTGAACCAGTCTACTGGCTCCAATACACCTACCCTCTCTGCCCTAGATACTGTATCAGTCCATCTCATCTGGGGTTTTCCTCTCCTGCGCTGTCTCTCCACCCTTCAGAGCATGCTGTCCTTCTCCAAGGATTGGTCCCACCTGCCCACATGCCCAAAGTCTGTGAGACAGAGCTTCAAAATCTTAACCTCCAAGGAGAAACTTGGTTTCACCATCTCCAAGACAGACATATTTGTTTTCTTGGCAGTACATGGTGTGTTCAAGACTCCTCTCCAACACCACAACTCAAAGGCATCAATTCTTATTATCCTTAGTTCTTGTCCAGCTCTCTAAAGTAAGGTTACTTTACTTTTTTGTTTTTAAGGTAAGCTTGTTCAAAGAAAAATATTAAATAATGAGGAGATATAAAGACTTGGCAAAATTTGGGCGGATGGTATATTAGTGATAGAATTTTAAGGACAAATAAGTTATCGACTAGAGCCAAATAAACAAGATGAATATAGTTCCTATCCTTTATTCTAGTAATTACAAATCAACAACTCAAGTCATCGCCATCGAGGCAGAGCCCACTCACCCCTGACCTTCTAATGGGCTTTCAAAGGCTGTAAATAGAATGGGAGAAGATTGTCCCTCTTTCTCCTACAGAGCAGCTGGTGGATTAGAAAGTAGAATATCTAGAAATATTCTGAAAATGTCTCCTTAAAGAAAGATTATTCTTAAGTTAGATGTGTTCCTTAAAGCTGAAGGGAAGAGCACGTGGCCATGGCCAGGCAGGTCACGCTGTTGGCAGTGCTGGTGTCTGCATGTGGATGTCTCCTCACTTGAGACAGACAGAGCCCTGAGCCGACTTTCTTTGTAATTACATTTCTCCTTGTTACATCTGCTTCCAACTTAACACAGGAAAGAATTCCTCATCAGCAGTCACAAGCTCTGCTTCCCAGGACTGGATGCTGTTTTCAATTCTTGTGAACAAAAGGAACACACTATTTTTTCTTGAAAAAGAAAATCCCACACAGCCTAAATTAACACAGTACCATCTTTCTCTGCTATCCTTGGGAAAGAATATCTCATGTGCTAAGAGGGCTTCCATCATTCTCTCTCTGTGTGTGTGGATATTGCCAGCTGCAAAGTGCAGCTAACATGGGGACATTTTTTTGTGATGGATAATCGACCATAAAAACAGATCACTGCTCAAATGATTGAGTCTATGAGCCCTGCTGAACATTATTTCGGTAAAGAGTGAATTATTGAGAATTTTTTCTTTGTAATTTGGGGTGTTTGTATGTAGATCTAGGGTGTTTACATGTGATTCTGAATGTTTTATGATAGGGCATGTTGTCAGGAGAGCCTATTCCTTGGAGAAGGACATCATGCTTGGGAAGGTGGAGGGTCAGCAAAAGAGATAAAGACCTTCGATGAAATGGACTGACAAAGTAACTGCAACAATGGGTTCAAATGTGTCAGAGATGATGAGAATGGCACAAGACAAGGTTTAGATCTGTTTTTGTTCATAGGTTCTCTATGAATTGTACTCTACTCAACAGCACCTAATGAGAAAGTTCTCATTGCCCATTTTTTCTACATAGCCGGCACAATCTGTCAGCTGGTCACCCTGAGCTGGCCTTGTCTTGGGCCACTCAAAATACAAATGGAGAACTTGTTGCAAATGTTGATAGTGCCCTGTCCTAACCTTGAAAAAAGGAAATAAAAACTAAACTCAACTGTTTTTCTCAATTCCTACTCAAGCCTTAGTTTCTTCAAATTCATTGCTATTGCACTGGAAATGACTACTAACTGATATTTTAGCAAATTTTTCAGGAGGTTGTAGATTACATGCAAGGAGATTGTCTCTTTCTGCCTTTGTGTAAGCAGTGCAATTGGGCCTGAGGTAGCCAATTTTGTAACTTGTTAGAACCTCCCTGACGGGTAGGTATCTGCATTCTGTCTTCTCCAGCTATCAATGTAGTCTTTTTAACTAGAGCTTCCTGAAGAAGTCTAGCAACCAGCAACCAGGTGCTAACATAAAGACCAGGGGTTTGAATCCACCCAGCTGCTCCATGGAAGAAAGGCCTAGTGAATAGCTTCTGTAAAGATTAAAGTCAAGAAAACCTCATGGTTTTCTATTCTGTAACAGTGAGTTCATTTAAAAACGAAAAGTCACAAAAATCCTGATGAATAATTTAATTCTGTAACATGTGCAGGTCTGGTTGCCTACTGGATATGGAGGTGTCCTGTCAATCAAAAGGCAGGTGGTTCGAATCCATGAGCTGCTCCTCAGGAGAAAGACAAACAATCTTCTCTTGTGCTATTTGTGTTGGTTGTTTTTATGTACCATTGAGCCAGAAATGACACATAGCTTTCTTCCACTGAGCACCTGGTAGATTTGAACTGTTGACTTTTGGGTTACTGTTCTGACAAGCAGCACACTAAGCCACCAGAGCTCCATTTGCTTTGATGAGTGAGGCCCTGAGAAGCTCTGGTAGCCTAGTGATGAGAAGCTGTACTGCAATCCCAAAGGTATGTGGTTCAAATCCACCAGCTGCTCTGTGGGAAAAGGACAGGCAATCTCCTCATGTTTGATTTATGGCCTCTGTAAACCCACTGCAGGGTCAACTAACAGTCAGTTACAATTTAATGGCACACACCAACAAAAACAACAATGAAGTTCTCCACATTCTTGAAAAAGTTTTAAGAACCTAGATTTTTCAAATAAAAACTCCCAATTGATATTGCAAAAGTAAATTGGCCTCCTCCACAGTATTTATCCTCTTTATTTTTTTTCACTGTAAATCGTTAAAAAGCCACCAGCGGCTTCCCAGCGACAACCCATGTATGCACAACAGACACAAGAAACACATTAATGCTTGTTGGTGATGCTGTCTGCACACGAGTCACACAGGGACTCACACGAGTCACACAGGGACTCACACGAGTCACCACAGTCTAAGGCAGCTGTGACATCACAAGAAGAGGGAGTTTCTAGAGCAATAGCAGTGACTCTTGGCAAGGAGACCAGCGTGAAGCTACCAGCTGTTTCACAGGAGGAAGAGGGCAGTCTCCTCGGATCCATTTACAGCCACCAGAAGCTTGCTGGACGAGTCAGCTGAGATGGTTCTGACTAGACAGTAATGAGCTGGAATTTCTTTTGGGGTAGAGCTTTCTTCGCTTCCCTAATCCTAATCAATTGATTTACTGCCTTGCTCTTTCAGCCCAAATATTAGGATACAGGAAATATTTCTATTTCCCAGAAAGTGCTGGGAAAGCTGGGTGGATTCGTGCATGGGGGTGTTGGCTCAGACAGTATGACCATGGTGGGCAGGAAACAGCGTCTCTCCAGCTGAATAACTCAAGACCAGACTTTGTAAACAAGGTCAAGAAAAAGTAAACTTCTGTGGTTAAGAAGAAGAAATTATATCAATAGGAAAGAGTTAGGGAATGAATAGTCAACGGCTTTTTAGGGTTGAAAACATGCGCATTAGCACATGCTTCCTTTAAGCCCTGTGGGGGCTAAGTGTTTCAGAACAATGACGTCAGAAATGTCCCCCTTACCAAGTGCGTGTTGATGATTTCTTCAATGGAAATGTAGATGACCGGCTTGCTGACCATCACCAGGTCTGTGTATTTGTCCATATTAAATTTCTCCTCTGGCTCTGCAACATTACATGCTTCTTGGAAATATTTCCTAACAAAGGGAACAAGTAGACAAAACTTGTGAAAAGAGAGTCAAGCTTCAGTTAAACAACTTCATTGAAACACTGAAGGGAATTCTGAGCGATAGTTTGGTTTGTTCTTACAGTGCTTTGTTCTTACAGCCTGAACCTTAGCGAATTGTTACAGCATTTTCTAGACTGAATCCTGACTGTGAGATCAAAGTCATGTTTCTGGAGGTTGGGCCCAGCCCCTTGAACAGTGAGAGCTGAAAGACTTGAAAGCAAACCAAACCCAAACTCAAGCTCACTGCCATCGAGCTGGCACTGGCTCATGGTGGACCCTCCAGCAGTTTTTGGAGGCTGTAGATTGCACAGGGAGAGACTGCCAATTTTTCTACTGAGGAACTGCTGGTGGATTTGAACTGCTAAAGAGGCTCAGCCTTTGGGCTAGCAGTGCAAGTTCCTACAGACTCTGCCATCAGAGTTTTTAAGGGCTTTAGATTCTGACAGTGACTCAGTGGGATCAAGTTATGGATACTTAAGTAAAACGAAAAAAAAAAAAAAAAGTAGTTAATACTTGAGAATCACGTCATTCTGGAGAATACAATCTAAAAAGGCCACTCACCAAATTCACTACTTTAAATTGTACAAGCTCCGAGGCCTATAATACCCTATAAACTCTTGGAAGCATCTGTTACCAATTGGGTAAAAATGGGAGTTAAGTATACTCTTGGTTGATAGTTCATCTTAGTTATCAGATGGAAAGACACACAAATGCATAAAATGTTCTATTTCTCCAGTACTCAGACCTTTTAAAAACTATTTGAAATCTATAGTAAATTTAGACAGAGAGCAAGAGAAGTCAGGTATGCTGTAATCATAGCTTAGGAGAAGCTCTAGGTAGTTTTTGCCCAAACACCCCTGGTACAGGTATAGTGCATGATTTAGTCTCTAAACTCATAAACATTTCATGTGTGTGAGGTCACTGCTGAAGTATCTCCTAGGACATCCAAGGATCACACACCAGATACCATCTCTGCTTCCCAGGGAACAATGTCTTGGGTGGAGAGTTGGTCATCTTGCACATTTTTTTTACTATAGTTTTTCATGGCTTGCTGAGGACACAAAAATAAATGAATAAATAAAAGTGTAAGAGAAAGAGGAATTTAAGTGAGCCTTTGGTTTTGTTTCTTGTTGAATGAGAATACAGATGGCTAAAAGGAGTCAGCTGAAGAAAAAGGGCAAAATGGGAAGTTTTATGCAAAAGAGCTTGCAAGAAACGTGGGAAATGGATGTTACCTTCTCTTGTCACTGAGAAGAACTAATATTAGCAGTCTGAGAAACAAAACTTCCTGTAGGAAGAAGACTTGGGAAAACTTTCCCAGAGAGATCACAGATTCTAAATAGAAATGATCATAAACTACCTATAACAGGCGGATGTCATTAGCCCTGGGGAAAAGGGAGCCTGGTCTTACAAGTGAAGCTTCAAAGAGACCAGATTTACATCATATTTCTATCTCCACAGTTTGAAAGGTAGACAAGAGGGGAGTATAAATGTTGGCTGCAGTGGAACCCCAGGAGCAGGCTGAACCCCACTGTCAGCTCCCTGCTTCCATGTCCTCAGGGGATGCTTCAGGATAGAATTTGGAAAAACATAAAATCAACAGACTAAATAATTCCTATACTAAGAAAGTCTAAATTACACATACTAAGGAACATTAGAGAAGAAACTAGAACATACCCACATATAACCATCAACAAATAACAAAACCGGGACTTTCCCAATCTTTCAAAGCCAAATCAGTTTCCTCCAATTGTTTGATGAGATTAGGCAAATCCTTCCTGAATGAGAAATTTTCTTAAAAGAAAAAAAATATCTCTTCTTCAGTTTAAGAAAGCAAAAATGAGCCTTTTTTATTTTTAAGCTATAATTATCATGAGACAGTATTACACTAGGAAGAGTAAGTGTGTCATTGTGTCAACAGAAAAGATACACGTGGGAACTGGTGACTGTAACAGGCACATGGGGTGGGGACTGGATGAGGCCACAGCAAAAGCACCGGGACTGGTTTCCATTTCTCCCTCTCTCCTCAGCAGGAGAAGAAATGCAGACAGCTACCTGAGATTCCTGCCCTGGAGTCTCATGTCAGGTTCTGGCCACAGACACACAGTAATCTTGTCTACCATCTTGGAAATTTCTCCAAAAATAAAGCACGTCTCACCTGAATTTCTGATACGTCTCTGACAAATAATTGTTCATGGAGGAGAGGTGTTCATTTTCTCCTTCAAACAGCTTGTTGGAGGCTGCGTGCTGAAGGACCTTGGCCACTGAGCCCAGGTTTCTCCTCTGGTCGGATGTGATCTGGCCACCGGCAGTCATGTCAATGATGTCGAAGCCGTCAGGAGCCACGATGGCTGGGTTCATGTACCGGTAGTACAGCAGGTTGCCCACAATCTGGAGTGACGATTCACAAGAAAAGGACCAGCTTGAAGAGAGGAAACTTGGGCGCTTTCACTTTGGTATTGGATGTGTGTATTTACTTTCCCCAAGACAGAAAATCAAGTTCTGATCTTAAACCTAACAAGGGGCCAAGTAAAACTCAAAACTGTCAGAACTGATTCTGACTCACAGCGAGTCTGCAAGACAGAGCAGAAGCGCCCCATCAAGTTTCTGAAGCTGTAATTCTTTAAGAGAGCAGATGGCCTCCTTTTTCTCCCACAGAGTGGTTGGTGGATTTGAAACACTTGACCTTTTAACTGGTTGTATTAACACTGAGCCTACAGTGCCATCAGGATCCCTAAGGACTTTAACAAAAGTGATTGAAAAGCAATCACCCATCACTAATCAATCAATCCAACAATCAAACCCATTGTCATCAAGTCAATTCCCACTCATGGTAACCTTGGGCACTGGAGTGGAGTCACTCCACAGGGATTTCTTGGTTGTAACATTTACAGAAGCAGACGGCCAGGGCATCTGTCTGCAGTGTCCTATGGAGATTCAAGCCACCAACCTAGGGGTTAACAGCTAAGAGCGAAGTGTTTGCACCACCCAGGGACCCTCCTATCACTAGTGGAGTTAAGAAAATGATTTTGCATGAAAATTATTCTTATTGCTTCACCAGAATGCCCTAATACATAGGCATTTTTGAAAATGATACAATCTCCATATTTACTTCACCATAATCAATATAGTGATGATATTCAGTAGACATAGGAAACTTGCAGCTTACCACAAAAGGGATGAAATCTTACAAAATGGTTTGTTAGTGATTCAAGCTTACACTCCCCCCCCAAAAAAGCCATGGTGAGATTACTCTTGAAAAATCTACCTTTAATAGCTCATCTTCTGTGGCATCAGGAAATTTCTCATGGATGGAATTCTTCAGTACTTTGGCTATATACCTCAATCCATAACTAAATATGAAACAGATGACAAAAGAAAATAATGGGGAAAAAAGGCTAAGTGAGGAAGAAATGGTAATTGTTTCAGTTAAGCAAAGTTGAGTTTTCCTAAAAATGAAACATAAAGTGAGATGGGAATGGAGTCACGGGACTGGCAGAAACCAAGTTGCACTTTGTGGCTATGGAGGAGGCTTCACTCCCTCTCTGGAGATTAGTTAACAAATTCCAAAGCAAAAGCAGACAATCTTTTAAAATAGAAACAGCAACAAGCAGAAACCCATGTCTTTTCTACAGGGGTTTATTTTACATACTATTTCAGGAACTTTCCAAACTTACGGCAGGAGGTCAAGGGAAGAAATGATAGAGTTCAGGACTTTGTCAGTGACCCTTCTCAGGTTCTCAATGGACGATTCCAGCTTATTTTTCACTTCCGGGTGTGTTAAAGCTTGCTCTGTGGTCACATCGTAAGGAAGCTTGCTGGAAAACAGAAAGAGGGCTTTAATTATCTGAAGGCATCGATAGAAGGATTCTTATTCTGGCCAAGTTGGTTCAAAAGTTAAAAGTCATATAGTGAACTTGACCTTGTCAATTAACTCCAGTGACAAAATGTTTGCTAAGTGAGGGAAGGCCCCACATGCCCAAAGGGTGCCCTTTGGCACTTGAGGCTCAGAGGGGCCATGGGACTGACTCTTCTGAGAGAATAACAAGTTGACCTGTTAGATTTCTTCTCTTTTTCTTTCTTAAATGATCAAAAGCACATGGTTTGCATGAAGAAAACTGGAAATGGATAACAGTGATGGAGAAATGACAAGGGGACTATAAATAATATAATTGAATTATATAAGCAAAAACATTACTGAAATGGCAAATAGTTTGTTCTTTATGCTCTGACAAAAAGGGAGCGCTGGTGACCGAGTGGCAGGAAGCTGTGCTGTAATCCCAAAGACTTGCAGTTCGAGGCCTACAGCTTCTCCTCTAGGGAAAGATGGGGCAATCTCCTTCCATGCCTCTAAAAACCTGCTCGAGGGTCAGCTATGGGTTGGCTACAACTTGATGGTATGTAACAACAACAACAACATGCTCTGAAAAAATTTTATTAAAAATTCCTCTATTTATTACAGAAACAACTGCATATAAGGAAAAGAACACTTACTACTGACCCAGAGAGAACCATTCTCATCCTTCAGGGTGTAACTCTCCAAGCCCTGTTCTATGCATGTGTGTATGTGGGCCTCACACAATCAGAGGTGTAATGCACATTAGATTTACGTAAACATACTCCATACAAATCCAGTGTATGTGTACATACATGATGTTTTAAAACAGAAGGTTACTGTACCTAATGCAATCCGACAATATAAATACCATTCATAAATATACATGTATGCCGCCATTCCAAATAGTTATGTATTCCATTAAATCCTATGAAAACCAAACAAAATACACTGCCATTGTGTCAATTCCAACTGATAGTGACCCTCCATACAGGGAAGAGTAGTGTTTCCAAGGCTGTAAATCTTTATGGAGGCAGATTGCTACATCTTTTCCTGCAGGGCAGCTGTAAGGTTTGAACCACCAAACTGCTGGCTAGTAGCCGAGAACTTTAACCACTGCACCAGCAGGCCTCACTTATGTGTTATGCAAACACTTATTTAACAAATCCCTAAAGCTAAATATTTGGACTTTGTCCAATGGTTTACAATTACAAATTGACTGTGACATTTGTAATGTGGTCAGTTCTCTGTGCACCCCCTTATTTATTCTTATTCTATAAAAGGCATTCTTTTGAAGGAAATAAAGAGCTAGAATTACTTCAGTATTCCAATAACCTCTGGGAGCTCTAGTGGCCTAGTGTCAGGAAGCTGTACTGAAATCCCAAAGGCACACGGTTCAAAACCACTGGTTGCTCCTCGGGAGAAGGATGGGCAATTTCTCTTGTGTGATTACTACCTCTGAAAACTCACTGGAGGTCAGCTATGGGTCGGTTCTGACTTAACAGTACACAACACAACTTACAGAGGTCTGGTGGTCTAGTGGAAAGAAGCTGCATTGCAATCCTAAAAGCACACAGTTCAAATCCACGAGCTACTTCATCGAAGAAGGATGAACCATCTCCTGCTGTGAGATTTACTATTTCTGAAAACCCACTGACAGGTCAGTTGTGGGTCAGTCCTGACTTGACAGTACACCACTACCACCACCACAACAACAACCAATAACCTAGGGGGACCTCTGATGGCCTAGTGGTAAGGAGCGGTAATGTAATCCCAAAAGCATGCAGGTCAAATCCACAAGCTGCTTCATGGAAGGGTGAGCAGGCTTTTTGTGCTATATACTGCCTTTGAAAACCTACTGAAGGGTCAGCTATGTGTTGGTTCTGACTAAATGTTACTAAGCAGCACCAGTAACAACCAATGACCTAGAAGCCAATCCTCCTTGGCTTTACGCTTACATGTTGAAGTGACTCACATGATAACTACTAAAAGGTATGGAAAATCAGAGAAGGAAAAAGTAGGTACCATCTTTACATGTTGAAGTGACTCATGTGATAACTACTAAAGGTATGCAAAATCGGAGAAGGAAAAAATAGGTACCATCTCTACATATTGAAGTGACTCATGTGATAACTACTAAAAGGTATGCAATATCAGAGAAGGAAAAAGTAGGTACCATCTCTTGGTATAGATTTATCATCTCTTGGCCTTAAATCACATATTGAGAAGAAGTGGGGAAAGGATTATTATAGATGTTTTGGCATTTGGAGATCAACTGCAACAATAAATGAATGGAATTCCAAAATCTCTGTAGATGTTCATTGAAATGAAAAATAAACAACCTAAATTAAAAAAAATACCATTTTCATAAAGGGAAGAGTATCTTGAACTAAAAATTGACCTTACACAGTAAATTTTTTCCTTCCCATCTGACAGAATGTAAGAGCCTTTATAAAAAGATACATGTAAAACGATCAAACAATATGATGAGCTAACATTTTCCTTACCTAGTTACCTGGCCTCCCCAGTCAGTGTAAATACAGGTTTACAGCCCTTGGACGACTAAGTGACATTTCTACTCTGTTCTATACAGAAAGAGTCACTATGAGTCAGACCTGACTCAATGGCTGAGGTGCTGTTTATGGAACTCAAAGGAATAACCACCAGCATGATGAAGGGCAAGCAACCTCCCAGCCATTACCTGGCCTCTCCAGTCTGTGTTTCTAACTGGTTCACCCAGGCCTTGTACACCTCCACCGGGCTGGTGTTAATGATCAGGGTTTCATCATCGATGATCTCCTTCACCACGGGAGCCAGCAGCTGGCGCAGCGTGTTCTGTCCACGGGCCCCTCTGTTGAAGCTGACAACCATCTTAATGACGGTCGGGTTTCCAGTGACTATGTCCTGAACCTGGTCCACCTTAGACCTGAAAAAAGGCCAAGCCAAAACAAAATGAGTTGTCTCCATAGATCAAATTTTAAGCTGTGTGTACATTCTCACTCCCAGGCTCTGGAGGGCTGTATTTTTCCCCATGAAGATAAAAGATAAACAGCAATTCACAAGTTTGTTTTGGATTGTTGTTGTTTTTTAATTCAAGAAATTAAAGGATCTACAAATAAATTCTTATTAATCTTAACATGAACCTGGGAGCCAGGTATGAGTCAGAAATGGCCAAATCCAACAATATTAGAAGACATGACACACACATATTGTATACTTTGTAGTTGCTATATTTTAAAAAACCAACAAACCAAACTTCAACCTATTTTATTGGGCCAAATCCTTTAATTTCTTTAAATCACACAATTTCACTATGGTAAAGCTACTGGCTACTTCATGCGGCTTTGAGAACTCTTTGAGAGTCTCACTTGCCAGTGCTGATGGCCTTCCCCACTTCCGCTCCCCCCAACCCATGTGCAATGGCAGCAGACTCCCCTTCTGAGTCACTCTTCTCATGATCTCCTCCTTCCTCTTCCCCTCTGTTTCCCTTCACAGTTAGACATCACCATATTCTGGGCCTTATTTTACCTCATTACTCCTCACGGTGTTTTCTTGCTGGCTTCTCTCCCCACTTTGATTTTTATTGTTGTTATGCAAACCATAGTGACTCTATGAACAACAAATCTGAACCCTGTCCTATCCTGTGCCATTCTTAACATCTCTGACACATTTGAGCCCACTGCTGTAGTCACTGTGTCAACCCACCCGGTGGAAGGTCTTCTTCTCCTTTGTTGTCCCCTCACCTTTCTAAGTACGATGTCCTTCTCCAAGTAATAGCCCTTCAATCCCACTTTTTGGTCTTGTTTTTTCCCCCACTTCTTTCCCTTGCTGCCTTGCACAACACACACACACACACACACACACACACACACACAGCTTCTGTGATCATCTCTTTGGAACTTGCCCTCTGATCTCAATCTCTACCTCTTTCCTGAAGCCTTGAATGTCCAGTTTTGTGCTACACTTTTCAATTACATATTCTACACTCATCCTTCAAACTCAGTCTGTTAAAAATCCAAGATATTCTTATTTTCTTGGACTCCACTTGAACCCAAGTAAATGTCTGGGATTGTCTTTGACTTCCCTATTCCTAAGAATTCTATTTTAGCAACTTGAAAAATTATCTTGATTTTTCCTCCACTACCACTCTTTCCACCTCCTTCCCTTGCATTACTTTTTGCTACAAGTTCACACCTATTTTCGTATTTCTGCAAACAGTAGCATCTGCTGAGTGTCAGAGATGTAAGACATCACATTCAAACTGATGAACTTTAATATTCACCAATATTATTGTATGTGTACAATTGACCCCTTGAAAGATGAAACTGTGGCTCAGAAAATTCAAGTACTTTGTTTGCCTAAAAGCACTTCCTCAGTTGTTAAGTGTCAGAGAGAACTCAAAGGTTCTTTGTGATGCCAGATAAGTAAGTCTTCTAGCTTCTCCCTCTGCAGTCCAACTTTCCTCTTCCCGCTTCTCCTCACCTACACCACCAATTTGCCAGATATGCACCTAATTCAGATCACAGGGCTCTCTTATCTGGAATGTAATGCTTCTAGCCAGCATCCTGGTCTCTGGTCTAGTCTCTTTCAGCTCTCAGTGTATTTCTTAATGTCTACTTGCGTCAAGTTCCTAAAGGTTCATTATGGTCACATCACTTCACCACACAAAGACCTAAAATGCTTGCCCATTGGATTCACATGGAATTTATTAATTTAGCTAACTAAAGTTGGATGGATCTTGGCTGAAAGCAGAGGATACAGGAGAAATATCTGTGTTTCATTGGCTATGCAAAGGCATATGACTGTATGGATCATAACAAACTGTGGCTGACTCTGAGAAGAGGGAATTCCAGTACTGTTGGTTGTGCTCATGTGAAACCTATACCTGGACCAGGAGGCATTCATCCGAACAGAGCAGGGAAACACTACATGGTTCAAAATTGGGAAGTGTATGTATATATGTCAAGGATGAGTCCTACCTCCATACTTTTCAATCTATATGCAGAACAGACCACCTGGGAGGCTGGGCTCTATAAGGAGGAAGGTGACTTCAGAATTGAAGAAAGACTCATCAACAACCTGCCTTATGCAGATGACACAACTCTGCTTGCCGAAATTGAGGAAAGCATGTGACATTTGGTGCAGAAGATCAAGGACTCCAGCCTTCAATATGAATTAAAGCTCAACATTAAGAAAACACATATTTTCACCACTGGGCTGATTGGCAACATCTTGACAGATGGTGAAGAGAATGAGATTGTTAACAGCTTCAGTTTGCTTGGCTCCACAATCAACACTCTTGGTACCAGCAACCAGGAAATAAAAAGATGAATTGCACTGGGAAAGTCCGCTGTCAGGGACCGCTCCAGAGGACTGAAGAGCAATGATGTCAGTCTGGAGAATAAGGTGCACCTGACTCAGGCCATGGTTCTCACAACTACTTGCTATGAATCAGAAAGCTTAGATAATGCCTAGAGATGACAGAAGGAGTTGATGTCTCTGAGCTGTGGTACTGGAGAAACGTACTGAATATACCATGGATGGCTAGGAGAACAAACAGGTTCATCCTGAAGAGGATGAAACCAGGATGCTTCTTGAAGGAAAGGATTCTGAGGCTTCATCTGATATACTTCGGGCATGCTGCAAAGAGGGACCCGTCCTTGGAGAGATACATCATGTCATGCTTGGGAGGGTGGAGGGATAGCACAAGGGAGGAAGAACCTGGATGAGATGGATATATTCAGTCACTTGGGTAATGGGGGTAGAGGTGTCAGAGACAATGAGTTTGGCTCAGGATAGAACAGGGTTCAGAGCTGTTGTACAAAGGGTTGCAAATGACTCAATGGCACATAACAACAACTTTCTGATGTGGTGTTCAAAAGCTCTCCATCATCTTGCCCATCCCTCTCAACTGAAGCTCCTCACATCTATCTGTGTACCACACGTATATGTTAAAGTGAACAACTTGCTGCTCTTCTCATTTGCCTCCATATCTTAGCTTTGAACCCATCCCTGAGGCCTCAGCTCTTCCTTTCCATCAGTGTTCAGGTGAAAAATGCCACCTCCGTCCAGAAGCTTGTTCTCATGCTTTGCTATCACATGTGTAATACTTCTCAGTTCTGTGCATGTGAATTCTAAAACTTAATTTACACATTTTTTAAAAGCAAATAAATATGCTTGATTGGAAGATACTAATGCAATTTCAGGAAAAGTAAGGGCAGAATCACATAGATGCTGTTATCATGTAGGGTTTAGAAGTTGCATGGGTTCATGCTGTAGTTATTTGAAAGGCATAAAATACAGTGGCTAAGAAGACAAGCTCTCAAATTAGACTGGAGTTAAAATTCAAGCTCTGATACCTCTTCAATGTAAAGTGAGAAAATTATTTAACCTCTTTGCATATCAGTTTTCTCATCTGTAAAATGGAAGAAATGACGGTACCTCACTCAGGGGGTTATCGTTAATCTGAAATAAATGAATTCATAGCAAGTATTTAGAACAGAGCCTTATTCTCAGAATTCAGCAGAGAATCTTGAACATGGTAGATACACATCAGTATTCACTCAATAAGAAAAAAAGTTCCATGTTTGCTGAACAATACTCTAGAGGTATCTCTCTTTAGACCTATTATGCTCCAATTGATTTATCCTGTTTATATATGTACAGTAGATGAATTTTCTAAAAATTGAATGTGGTCATGTCTGTATTCTGCTCAAAATCTCTTGCAGCTTCCCCAATTTAAGATAAGCCCTGTCACTTGGGCCAGTATTTGTGTTCTGTTTCCAACTTGTCTTTCCAGCCTTCATCTCCTGGTTGTTGCTATGTGCCATGGAATTGGAACCAACTTATTGCTGACCCTTCAGTGGGTTTTCAAAGGCAGTAAATCACACAGGAAGAGAATGTCTATCCTTCTCCTATGGAGCTTCTAGTGGATTTGAACTGTGTGCCTTCGGGATTGCAGCAGAGCTTCTTACCACCAGGCGATTTGAGCTCCCTTTAGTCACAACTAATCAGAACCATATACTAGTTAGAACACTTTGTTGCCCATGTAGCTCCCACCACCCTTATGCTTTATTTTGTTTTCCATTACACCTTATAAAATGTATAGTCTTCAAAGTTGTGGTCAAGCACTCCCTCTTCCATAGCAACTTTTATCAATCAGATCAGCTGGAATCATTCTTTCTTTTTTTTTTAATCATTCTTTCTGTATAATAGATTTTTCATTGTACACAGATTTTCTATTGCATGGTATTACCCTGCAGTAAGTACTTATCATATTTTACTGTTGTTGTTGTTATGTTCTGTCAAGTCGCTTGCGACTCACAGCGACCTGTGCCAATTGCACTGTCTCTGACACTCCCATCCTGATTATCCCAGTCACTGAATCAATCCACCTCATAGAGGGCCTTCCCCTCCTGTGCTGTCCCTCCACCCTCCCAAGCATGATGTCCTTCTCCAAGGACCGGTATCTCCTCACAACATGTCCAAAGTATGTTAGACGGAGCCTCAGAATCCTTGCCTCCAAGGAGCCACCCGGTTTAACCCTTTCCAGGACAAATCTGTTTGTTTTCCTAGCAGTCCATGATATTCTTAATACTCTTCTCCAGCACCACAGCTAAAAGGCATCAATTCTCCTTCTATCCTCCTTGGTCATTGTCCAACTCTCTGATGCATTTTACTGTTAGTTTTATTATTTATTCACAAGTTACATTTTTTTGTGTGCTGCTTTAGACACTGTGAAGGCAGAGGAGCTTGATTGTTTCGGAGATCCATAATAATTATAAATAATAATTTAAGGCACCAAGGGACCAGGAAGACAGTTAAGGTCCAGTCAGCTGACTAAAAATTTTTTCATGTTTTTGTTCTATCCACTATAGCTACCTTTACACATTCTAGTAAAACATTAGCTAAATCAGATAAAAAGATATTTATTTCCCCTAAGAAGGAAAAATTACTCAGGAGGGAGATTGCTTGTCACATCCCAACCTCACACCACTTTTTATAGCTCTACCTTGCCTTGGGAAATAATTAAGTTAATAATTAAGTTAAATATTCTTGCTGATATTCAAGAAAAGATTGTGATTTTCAATTGTTGGAAACATGCAAAATAAAATGTTAACTCTAAAGGGATCACTAATTAAAGGAAAAATTCCACCTAAACACATCTTATGTCAGTCAATCAGAGATGGTCATTGTTAACAAAAGATTTGCTTGATGGGTAATTTTAACCAAATGCTTAGATACATACTTTATTTCTTCTTCCAGGGCAGTTTTAAAAAGCTTGAGAAGCAGATATTCTTCTCGCTCGTTAGAAGCATAGTTGTACAATGTGAAAATGACAGTGTCCATAAATTTAGTTGACTTGTTCTGTGGCATCTGGAAAATCAGCTTAGCCAAGTATGAAGGATTGGTCTGAATGAAAAGAAAAGAGAGAAGAACTTAAAAAACCCCACAAAACTACTATTACCACCTTATCAAAGTAGAAAGTAGTACTCCCTTCTTGGCTCTTTTGTGACTGGATATGTCTAGAAGACATCTAGAACATAAGGCAACTGTTGTTGTTGTTGATGTGTGCCGTCAAGTTGCTTGCGACTCATAGCAACCCTATGTACAATAGCCCCCACCATTTACAGGTCTGGAAGAAGCTCGACTTTGAGCCTGAGGGTTTCTAAGAGAATGAATTCCATAATGTGCAGCACCCCCCTTCATGATTGCAGGGATTTTCCCAGCAACCTTACCATCAGGGCAAAGGATAGAAGAGTGAGGCTCTATTTAAATTACAGAAGAAAATATTCATGCAAAAAAATGTAACACTCCTGCTCCTCTTTGAGGAGTGCTGGGGGCACACTAGTTAAGTGCTCAGCCACTAACCTACCAGTCAGTCCAGGAGGAAAAGCTGGGGCAGATCTGCGTCCATAAAGACCGCAGCCCCTGGGTGGCAGTCCTGCTCCACCACCATGAGTTAGTATTGATTCAAAGGTAATCTGTTACTCTTCTTCCTTATGACCAAATTAGCTCTCTTCTGAGGAAGAAAGATTACTCTCCACACATGGAAACTAGCATCCAACATCCCATACACTCCAGCAGTTTGTTTGACTCAAAAGCATTTTAGAAAACCCAAAGTACGGCCGTATAGCTGCTTCTCCGACTTAGCTTTCTTTGCAAGCTGATGACTGACTGCTCAGAGTTCACAGATAAGCTCAGGAGTGTTTTTTTATAGCTCTGTAATGATTCTTCTCTCACCCCAAACATATGGGAACTATGAGAAGAGAAATGGTCTGGTCTCTGAAGTTAAAGAACCCCACTCATCATGCCCCAAGGTCTCTTTACTTTCTCCTCAGGCCACTGTAAAACCTTAAATTTAGGCTAGGACTGAAGGGATAAATCCAAAGGGAATTGGTCTGTCGTTTCTTCAAAGGATACTTCAAGGAAATACTGAATGGTCATGTTCTAAATCTCCAAGGAAGCAAAAGCATAGCAGACAACTTTGTAAAATGTATTTTTAAAAAAATCACAATGGGAACAAGAAAAATTACAAGACAAAGCTCTCAAATGGGATATTCAAAGGGGGAAATTCATGAGGCAAAATGGGAATCTCAAACGGGGCATCGTGCACTCTTTCAGGAGCCTCATGCAGAAAATTGGACCCTTGCCAGGATCCTGCAGTCACGCACAGTCAAAGGATTCCAGAGACAAGGAAGTGATAACATTTCCCCTTCTTTGCTGCCACATTGTGGCTGTCTGTGGCACCTACATCTGTCTGAAGAAAGTAAGAGGACATAAGAATCTATGCCTTTGAGTTACAATGTTGGAGAGAAGACTACTAAATATCTCACTGGCAAGCAAAAGAATAAATAAATCTGTCCAGGAGGAAGTACAACCAGAGTGCTCCTTAGAGGCCAGCAGGGTGAAAGTCCATCCCTCTCACACACTGTGAACATGTTGTTAGGAGGGGCCAGTCTTGGGGAAAAAAGACATCATTTTGGGGAAGGTGGAGAGTCAGTGTGAAGAGAGAAAGACTTTCCGCAAGCTGATAGACACAGTGGCTGTAACAACAAGCTCAAGCCTATCAGAGGATGGCAGAGGATAGGGCAAGGTTCCGATCTGCTGTTTATAGGATTACTATGAGTCACAGTCGATTTGAAGGCACTTTACAATAACAGTAATAAAAATGAACATCTGGTCTCTCAATGGAGTCAGCCACATGACTCATTTTTTGGGTCGAGTAATAGGATCACTGTTTATCGAATACTAGTGATGTCCTCAAATAGATACAGGCATCTCTGGACCCTACGGAAATCAGCATAAACAGTGAGCCCATACAGGACACCTGGCTCACAAAACAGTTTTCCTGTTGAAGTGAAGGTTTATTTATATCCATCACTGTCACTTTCTTCATTTCCTTTATGACTAACTGTATGTTAGTCAGGTAGGGTGGAAGAGTGAATCAATGGTCAAACAGATCCTTAACTACTTGTTAAAGTCCAATTATAACCAGGTAAGCTTATTCATTCTCACCAACAGTCTGGAAAGCAAAAGAAAACGATTCATTTAAACTGTAGAATGCCATAAAAATAATGTAATACAAGGACACATTATTGCCTAATCCCAACCCTCTTGCTCCTTCTTCAAAGGGCAGGCTGCTTGTGGTAAAAATCTGTTTTTCACATACAGTTGAACTTTTTCTGGGACTTCAAACTCATTCTGTCTGGTTTAGTCATGGTCAGTGCAGTGACCCCACAGTGAATCTGAATTTTTTAAATGTGAGAAAATGGAAATGCTACCTAGGATTTAAAAAAAAAAGTTTTGAATTCTAGCTAGAAACTTATTTTCCTCTAGAAAAAAAGGGGTATCATGCACATTGTATAAGAACCACATCCCATGACTGACTGAGTGGATTACCACGGTACCCTGATCAAAGACGGCAGCAGATCAGGTGGATCTGACTGTGTGCGGCGCTGCACGATCCTGGCAAGGGTCTAGTTTTCTGCATGAGGCTCCTGAAAGGGTGCACGATGCCCCTTTTGAGATTCCCATTTTGCCTGATGAATTTCCCCTTTTGAATATGCCATTTGAGAGCTCTGTCTTGTAATTTTTCTTGTTCCCATTGTGATTTTTTTAAATACATTTTACAAAGTCATCTGCTATGCTTTTGCTTCCTTGGCCATGATTGAATGAGTCCAGCATCTTTTTCATGGCTAACAGTCTTTGCTTTTGTTTTTAATTAGTTTTCTATATATGAAGCAAATGATGTATTGGGTTGCCTTGGGTTCTCAAGGGCCTCTTTAAAGTGCTAAAGAGCAAGGATATAACTTTACAGAATAAGGAGTGTCTGACCTAAGCCACGGTATTTCTCAATTGCTTATAGAAGTTGGACAACGAGGAAGGAGGACTGAGTAAGACCTTTAGATTGTGGTGTTGAAGAATATGGACTATACTATGGACTGCTAAAAGAACAAACAGATCTGTCCTTGAAGAACTACAGCTGGAGTATTCTTTAGGGGTGATAAGAATAAGACTTTGTCTCACATTTTAGGCATTTAACAAGAAAGGTCAGTCCTCGGTAAAGGACACCAGGCTTGGAAAAGTGGAGTGTCAGTGAAGGTGAAGACGAGCTTCAATGTATTTCATTGGCAGCGACTGGGCACAAACATAGTAGAAAAACAGTAGGCTGGTGCAGTATTGCATATATGTAGAGTTTTATTTTGTTATTCATAGGATCATTATGACTCAACGGCACCTAACAACAAAATCCTACTCTTACAAAGAACTAGATACAGACAGCTAGAGTCCCAAAACCTCTGCTTTGCCATTTACTACCTGTGTCTCAGTTTCTTAATCTGTAAAATGGGGATAACAGCCATACTCTGATAGATTCAAAGGTCATGGAAAAAAATTACATGAGATAATGTATACAAAGCACTAAAGGTTGGCATGTAGCACTTGCTCAAAACACAAATTATCAGTGTTAAAGTATGGTGGTAAAGTGAGTTTTTAAACCACAAACCAGGAATATAGGATTTATTTATAAACAACTCATCGTGGAAGAAAAATAGTTCTTACCTGTAAAATGTAAAACAGCTGCTGGTAGGTTTCTAGTGTTTTTCTCCTTTCCTTACTCAGACTTTTGATTCCCTGATTGTCAGTGTTATTCCATACTTGCATTTCTCCTCCTTTTTTCTTATTCAGCTTCTTGCTGTGTGAAATCACATCCTGTAAAAACATTTATGAAAGCATAAAGTTTTTTTCTCTGGAACTCATTACCTCTTCCCATCACAAACATTTCGAAATACACGTACTTGTTGTTGATAAGATTAATTTTTCCACACTCCCTCCATAAAGAAACACAAGGATAGAGAATATGAAACAGGAAATGCAGCTTAAAATATTGAGGACATCTACTTTGGAGATGAATTTGACTGTGGTAGTACTTGTTCTTCAAAGCTGCACTCACTTGTTTGCTCTTAAGATGTTATTCAGATGCCAAGACCATGTAATAAAAGAAAAATAACCTTTTCAACAGCTTCAGGGATAACTTCAGGCCCATATGTGAAAGGATGAACCCTCACCTCACAGTGTAAGTACAAAATTAACCAAAAATGGATCATCTGCTCAAATGTAAGAGCTAAAATGTTAAAATGTGTGAAAGAAAACAATAAGAATACATATTTGTGACCCTAAATTGCAGTTGTTAGGTGCTGCTGAGTTAATTCTGACTCAGTGACACCACATGACAAGGCAGAACTGACCCCTGGTTATAACCTTTATGGAAGTCGATGGTCAGGATTCTCCCAGAGCCACTAGGTGGGTTCATACTGCCAACCTTTTAGTCAGCAGCTAAGTGCTTAACCTTTGTACCACCATAGTTCTCCTTAAGATAGATCAGAGAAATCAAACATCTGATAAGGTAGTTATATTGCCACAATAGATAATGGTATCCTAGAATAAAAAGAGAACAACAACAATAAAGGGCAAAGTATTTGAACACAGAACTATCATATAACCTAGCAATTTCACCCTCGGGTGTATAGCAAAAAGAATTGAGTACATATGGATGTGCAAGGAGTGGCATCCACTTCCTAAATAACATGCCTCCATAAACTCCGTGAACTTTGATAAATGTTGACAGTTGTAGAGGGGCTTCAGGCCTTTTATTCATAGTGTTGCTATGAGTCGTGCTCGACTTGAAGGCAATCAACAACAGATTTCCAAACCAGAAAATAGATGTTCAAATATTTGTATACAAGTATCTGTAAAAACATTATTCACAGTAACTGGAAGATGGAAATAACCTAAATGTCTATCAGCTTATGAAAAGAATAAAATCTGATCTAGCCACAGAGTGGAGACATAAAGATGTATGAAGTAATGATGCATGATACAATGCTGGAGAGGATGCAGAGAGACAGCAACTCTCATACACTGTTGGTGGGATTGTAAAATGGTACATCTACTCTGGAAGGCAGTTTGGTACTTCCTCAAAAAGCTGAACATAGAAATTCCATATGACCCAGCTATTCTACTTCTTGGAATATACCCTGAGAGAATTAGAACTGAGACAGAGATGGAGATTTGTACCCCAATGTTCTTAGCAGCACTATTCACTATTGTGAGAACATACAAATAGCCCAAATGTCCGACCACAAGCAAATGGATTGAAAAATTGTGGTACATCCACACAATGGAATACTATGCAGCACTCAGGAGCAATGATTCAGAAAATTACTACATATTCGGGGAGGGACTGGAGAGTATTATGCTGAGCGAACTAACTCAGTTCCAAATGGATGAATACAGTATAAGACTATTATTGTAGGATGAGTATGAGGATCCAAGGGGAGGTAGGAAGGTTAAGAGCACAGGGGTGAGTGACGATGGGCATGGAGGTACTCATAAGGTTGTACAATTTGATGCGTGGAGGGAGGGGATGTGGAAAGACAAGATAATCGTGGATATATTTCAATGTTGATTAATTTTATAAAATATAACGAACTGGAACAAGTGTATGAAACACAATGCGAATGAAGATAATGTGAAAAAAAATGCACATGAACTTTGTAAGCAAACCATTATAAAATAAAGTGTGTATATTTATATTTAATTTATATTTACATTTATATTTATAATGCATGCTGCAATATGGACTAACCTTGAAAACATCGTACTGACCAGAAGAAGTCAAACAAGAGGTTACAAATTATATTATTCCATTTATATAAAGGAGCCAAAATTGATAAATCTTTATAAATTATTGGCTGCCAGGGGTTGGAATGAGGGGGTAGGTAGTTGGAGAGTAACTGCTAATGAGTATGTTATTGTTGTTGTTGTTATGTGCCTTCAAGTTGAATAAGAATCATAATGATCTTATAAAAATTTGAACCTTATTCTATCCTGCACCATCCTCACACTTCTCAACACACAAAAGCCCATTGCAGCAGTCCCCGTGTCAATCCACCTGGTTGAGAGTCTTCTTCTTTGCTGACCCTCCACCTTTCCCAGTATCATGTCCTTCTCCAAAACTAAAGAACAAATTCAAGCTGCGAGTTGCAATGCTCAAGGATACTATGGGCAAAATATTGAATGGTTCAGGAATCATTAAGAGAAGATGGAAGGCAACACAGAGTCACTGTACCAAAAAGAACTGGCTGACACAGAAGAATGTCAAGGAATAACATATGGTCAAGAGGAAATGGTGAGGAAGTAGGAAGTTCAGGCTTCTCTGAAGGACTTGTGGGGGAAAAAATAAAGCCCCAGGAGTTGATGGAATACCAACTGACAAATTTCAACAAACAGATGCTGCCCTGGATGTGCTCACCAGGTTGTGCCAAGAAATCTGGAGGACAACTATCTGGCCACCTGATTGGAAGAAATTCCTATTTATTCCCATTCCAAAAGAAAGGTGACCCAACGAAGTGTGTAAATTATTGAACAATATCACTAATATCACACACTTGCAAAATCCTGCTGAAGATTATCCAGAAATGACTGGAACAGTACATTGACAGAGAACTACTAGAAAGGCAAGCTGATTTAGAAGAGGTTGTGGCACTAGAGACATTATTGCCAATGTCAGATGGATCTTGGCAGAAAGCAAAGAGTACCAGAGGAATGTCTGTGTTTCCTGACTATGAAAGGAATTTGACTGTGTGGATCACAACAAATTGTGGCTAATCTTGAAGAGAATGAGAAGCCCGAAATACTTGGTGGTGTTTATGTGAAAATTATACTTGGACCAGGAAGCAGTCCTCAGAACAGAGCAAGAAAAAACTGCATGGTTCAAAATCAGGACAGGAGTGCATCAGGGATGTAGCCTGTCTCCATATCTTTTCAATCTATATGCAGAATGGATAATTCAGGAAGAAGGGCTTTATGAGGAGGAATGTGGCATCAGAACTGGAGGGAGTCTCATCAACAACCTATGCAGATTACACAACCTTGCTTGCTGAAACTCAGGAGGACCTGAAGCACTTGCTGCAGAAGACCAAGGTCTGTAGTCTTCAATATGGATTGAAGCTCAATATCACAAAGACAAAGAAAGATTCTCATGACTGAGCCAATTGGCAGCACCATAATGGATGGAGGGGAGACATAACGTTGTTAAGAAGCATGTCTTGCTCAGCTCCACAATTAATACTCTTGGCACCAGTAGTCAGGAAAAGATGAATTGAGCTGTGGAAATCTGCTGTCTGGGACCTCTACAAAGTACTGAAAAGCAATGATGTAAGTCTAGAGACTAAGGTGCGCCTAATATAGGCCATGATCTTTGCAATTACTTACTAAGCATCAGAGAGCTGGACAATAACTAAGGAAGAAGAATCAATGACTTTGAATTGTGGTGCTGGAGAGGAGTATTTTTAAGAGTATGCTAAGTGCCCATGGACTGCCAAGAAAACAAATAAGTCTTTCTCAGAGAGGGTGAAATCAAGTTTCTCCTGAGAGGCTAAGATTTTGAAGCTCTGTCTCACATACTTGGGCACATGGCCAGGAGAGACAGGTCCTTGGAGAATGACATCATGATCAGAAGGGTGGAGGGACAGTGCAGGAGAGGAAGACCTCAGATAAGATGGATTGATACAGTGACTGGGGCAATGGGGGTTGATGTGTTGGAATCAGTAAGGCTGGCTCAGGACAGGGCAGGCTTCAGAGCTGCCGTACATAGGTTCGCTGTGGGTAGCAGGTGACTTGACGGCACATAACCACCACCACAACAACAGCAACATATCCGAAGTATGTGAGGTGTAGCCTCTTCATTCTTTCCTCCTTCCCCCTCCCCAAAGGGAAATATAATCCACATATCATAAAATTCATCCCTTTAAAAGTATACAGTTCATAAGGTTGTCAAGTCAAGAATGATAAATGCTGTTACTTCTGCTATTAATAATGCTGTTTAAGTAATGTTATGAAATAGAATGTGTATAAATTGTTGAATGGAAGATGCATTTGCTCTGTAAACTTTTACCCAACCTCCTCTCCACCATGCAAAGCATATAATTCAATGGTTTTCAGCATATTTAGAAGTTGTGCAATCATTACCAATGTCCAAGGGCTAAAACATTATCAGTGGAATTTCCTTATGGGGTAACAACAATTCTATGGAACCAGATAGTGGTGATAGCAGCAAATCTGCGAATATACTAAAACCCAGTGTGCCGTACAATTTAGAAAGGTGTATTTTATAGTATGTGAATGATATCACAATTTAAAAGAGCCCTTAAAAATTTGATAAAGAAATTAATAAAAACTGATGAGAGGGAAAGACATTCTCCCTGTAAATTAGATATGTTGCTGTTGTTGTGCATCACCAAGTCAGACCAACCCAAAGCTGCCCCTCCAGTGGGTTTTTTCAGATGCAATTAATCTCATGGGAGAAGATTACCCATCCTTCTCCTATGAAGCAGTGGTAGAAATGATTTGAACTGTGTCTCTTGGGGATTACAGCACAGTTTCTTGCCACTAGGAGACCAGAGCTCAAAATGATATATACCAGCATTAATTTTTCCCCATTGTGCTCCTTTAAGGGGGCTCCAGTGGCATAGTCTGAAGGAAGTTACACTACTAATTTAAAGGCCTCACCTCTGGCAGTTTATTTTAAACTTGCTCACTTACAAAGTTTGTATACATTGTTTTCACACATGATCTTTCCCATTTCCTTAACTCACTCCTCTTCTGAACCATCAAATCCTGCGACTCTATGATTAACTTCCCCTTCCGCC